GTGAGCTGCAGTGTCTGGGAGAGGAAACATGCGAGAAATGAAGGAGGATGTGACTCACTCAGGTTAAGTAAAAGAAGGTTTTTTTTCTTTTACTTCAGGAGGATTGTGTACCACATAGCAACTGGATGTGCCGCCCTTTTGGACTGTCATACAGGAGCTTTTGGATGTACTGTCATTTGTGTGTAAATTAGGTCTGTCAACACTGGGTTAAGCTCATGCAAAATTTAATTTAAACTTTTGAATGTAGCTGAACCCTATCATGAATCACAGATCAAAGAGTGTGTGGAATTAAGTCATATTTTCACAGATGTCTCATCAAAGTCCAGAAGATTTTCTTTAAAAGGATCCTTTCAGAATATAAATATGGGAGGTCTTTGTCAATTTGTTTTTAAAAGTGCACCATATTCCATTCTTTACTATTAGAGAGTCACTGACATGGAACAAGCAAATCAGTGAAGTATTGGAATACCTGCCTGGACTATTCATTCCAAGCCATTTACCAATTAACCCTTTAGGGCCCCCGGTCTGCATGTTCACATGCCTTATGCTGTTTTTCCTGTACAGAATCCTTGCTCTGCGGTTGACACAATGTATGTATGCAGCCTAATACAGGTGGGGTCTGGACATCCCACCGGAAAAGGCCCATATACAGGACCCCTTTGGGGTAGATGGTGCAGGAGATTATACCTGTAAGCAATTGCAGTGCCCATACATCTATTTTGATGGTTTCCCGTTTACTTCCATGAAATGAGAAAAAAGTGTGCATTTTATAGAAACCTTCTTTAATTAAACATTTAAGTATTTCATCTTTATTTTAACTAAAAACTAAGTTTTTTTCTGATGCTCTAGTACCTTAGAGTAGTTTATATTAATTTGCTGGTGTGTAGCAAAACAAACCTTTGTGTATTCCTTTTAGCGGACTATGTTAATGCAGATATTTCTGTACCGTGCCTAACAAATCCTGTTAGAGAATTTAACACCGTTGCCAACAGGTTTCCCACAGCTTGGCACGTCTCTAGTTAGAATGACAGCCGAGCAAAGCTTTGCGACCCAGATTTAGTTCATTAGCTGCCGCCATAAAGACTGTAATTATCTTCACATCCTCTGCCGCTTGTTGCTGTGCAGAAAGCAATTAAATCACATTATACAAATGCATGCTTGTGCATAAAATTGTTCAGAGCTCTGCCTGGTCTCTATAAGATTGCCTAGGAGGCACCTCTGGCACTTTGAAATGAGTTGCGCACCCTATTGTATAATTAATTGACACGACGGTTCATTTATAGCTTCCGGACAAATAGGTCGTAGGTTACAATAAAAGTCAATTTAAACATCAGTGTTTGTGTCTTGGGAAAAGACTGTTATATAAAATGAAGGGCATCTACCTCACTAAGTGAGAATATGAAATCTGCAGCCACATTCAATTTGTGTTAAGCCATATTTGCTCTTGATTTTAAAAATAGGACTACAAATATTCCAATTTGAATTTAGCTTAATGTTTTACAGTTCTCTGCCTTCTGTGACCCTCTCAAACACTTATCTATTGTGTGTAAATAAAACATTCATAAATGCATCATGGTAACAAAGACAAAATTGTCATAAAGATACCAGCATTATAAAACTTCCGAATGACCTAAGACAATTTATTATATCCCGGTATGTGTGCTTCAGCAGGCGTAATTTGTTAATATACTGCATCGTAAATTTGATGAGATTAGATGCTTGCAAATGGTTTTTGTTATCACGCCCAGCAATCCTTTAGATGTTATGCCGTGGTGTAATATCGAATGGTATGATGAGGCTGCAATATTTATACAGCACCACACTGGGATTGAGACCGTTCTCCAGTTAGTTTTCATTTTATATAAAAATAGGGCTGTAGTGCTGCATTCACATGTGGGATGTGACAAGCAAGTCACCTTAGGCTAGAGCGGGGTTATCCTTAGCCTTTGGGTGCATGGGAACCAAGTGATGGTTCCCATACGGGTATGGGGCTGGTTCTCTGAATTTAACAAATAAAATCAGGATTCTCTGCATTATTACAATATTAAACCTGGAATCTAACTGAATTTGATGTGGCAGATACCATGCGAGTAACATTGTTAATAACTCTACCTTGAGTTCATGTTTTTAGATTACACAAAAACAGCAGAAATCACACTAGTTCTAGTTAGTTTGTGTATTTGTGATTGGCCATTTTTATATAAACAAATAGAATAAATAATAACTGGTTTTATTTTTGTTGCTCTGTCATGTGTAAAGTAAAACCAAGTCATTGACATATTTTTAAGTCATGTCAGTACCTTATAGGACTGATGATGATGATGATGAATGGTTCAACTGTCTGGTGAAGGGGTGTATGTAATTGTAAATAGGTTGGGAACCCCTGTCGAGGACCATAAAATATACAAGCACAAAACACTCAAATTTTATTATCAGTTGGAAAGAACTTCTAATAATAAAAAAAAACAATATAGAAGTGCATGATACTTAATGTTATACAAAAAGTATATAGTTATAGGAGACCTCTTTCATATGAACAGAAAAAAGTGTGTGCATGTATACAGTACTGTGCAAAGGTTTTAGGCAGGTGTGAAAAAATGCTGTAAAGTGAGAATGGTTTCAGAAATAAAAGGGTTAATAGTTTCTTTTTATAAATTAACAAAATGGAAAGTAAATGAACAGAAGAGAGATTCAAATCAATATTTGGTGTGACCACCCTTTGCCTTCAAAGCAGCATCAGTTCTAGGTAGACTTGCACATCGTTTTTGAAGGAACTCGGCAGCTAGGTTATTCCAAACATTTTGGAGAACTAACCTTCTGTGAATGTAGGCTGCCTCAAATCCTTCTGTCTCTTCATGTAATTCCCAGACAGACTTGATGATGTTGAGATCAGGGCTCTGTGGGGGCCAGACTATAACTTCCAGGACTCCTTGTTCGTCTTTATGCTGAAGATAGTTCTTATTGACATTGGCCGTATGTTTGGGGTCGTTGTCCTGCTGCAGAATAAATTTGGGGCTGATCACACGCCTATGGTATGGAATGATGGATAAGTATCTACTTGTATTTCTCAGCATTGAGGACACCATTGATCCTGAGCAAATTTCCAACTCCATTGGCAGAAATGCAGCCCCAGACTTGCAAGGAACCTCCACCATGCATTACTGTTGCTGCAGACACTCATTATTTTACCGCTATTCAGCCCTTTGGAGAACATACTGCCTCCTGCTACAGCCAAATATTTCAAATTGTGACTCTTCAGTCCAGAGCACCTGCTGCCATTTTTCTGGAATCCCTGTTCTATGTTTTCGTGCATAGTTGAATCGCCAAGCCTTGTTTCCACGTTGGAGGTATGGTTTGTTGGCCGCAAAATAATGGCAGCAGGTGCTCTGGACTGATTAGTCAAAATTTGAAGTATTTGGCTGTAGCAGGAGGCAGTTTGTTAGCTGAACAGACAGAAGGATTACTTGTAGAGACAGAAGGATTTGAGGCAGCCGACATCCACAGAAGATCTGTGCTTAGTTCTCCAAGATGTTTGGAACAACCTACCTGCTGAGTTCCTTAAAAAAAACTGTGTGCAAGTGTACCCAGAAGAATTGATGTTGCTTTGAAGTCACACCAAATATTGATTTGATTTGGATTTCTCTTTGTTCATTTACTTTCCATTTTGTTCCATGATAAATATAAACTATTAACACTTTTATTTCTGAAAGCACCCTTATTTTACGGCATCTTTTCACACCTGTCTAAAACTTTTGCACAGGTGTGTGTGTATATGTGTATATATGTGTATATGTAGATATACACACACTGTATATATATATACACAATAATAAAAGCTATTACATTAGTAATACTTATTTAATACTAATCACTGAAAACAAAGCACATTCCACATTAATACATTCAACACTCTAACTTCATCTATCACTGGGATGTGCAGACGTGTAGATATTCTTAAGCGATGTCTCTTAATTGCCAATTATAAAATTTGGCTTTTAGTGCACATAATCAGAAATGTGTCAAATGCTTTTAAAAGTATCTAAATAAAAGTGCAGAATTCATAAAAGTATCAAAAAGATAATTAGGATTTGTAAAATGTGTTCACTGCCTCAACTATAAGGCTGGATTTAATTGTTTGCAGAGTGTTAGAATGAGCTGCAACAACATACCTTTTTACACACTTGCACTCTTTTCTAGCGCACAAAAAATCTGTGAGCTGTGGTGCACTAAAACATTCAGTACTGTACATTAGGGGTACCATTCAAATTAGGTGTATTATTGTAATGCAAATATGTTAATCCGGCCTGTATAATATGACATTGCAAATTATTCCACTGGGATGGAATATGTCACTCCAGTGTTTGTAAAATATTATCTATATATTTATGGAGAGCACTTCTAAGGGTAAACTTTAGGCACTGTATATCACACAAATCTGGTGTTGCACACCTTAGTAACTACCTGGTCATATACTTGTGTGTAATCTCGCAATCAGACTTACTCAGTGGAGTCGCAAGTTCTCCAGGCATCAGCCTTTTCATACGGCTTCACGCGTGGTTGTCATTCGTGTGTGTGTGTGTGTGTGTGTGTGTGTGTGTGTGTGTGTGTGTGTATAATCCAGTTAGCAGGCTTAGTCAATTAAGTGATTAATTCTCCAGACATCGGCTCTCTAGTGGCTTATTTTGCTCCGGTGGCATCCCGTCAGTATGAGACGAAGATAAATCACCCGAAGCTTGCTAGATACACAACATGGGGATCACAGGTTTCCAAAGCTTTATTATGCTCTTTCCTCACATAATGGCAATAATAATGGAACTACCTAGTTTGTTAAGAAAGTAACAGTTGTGGACCATATCTCAATGGTGATTTAGTGTGTGTGTGTGTGCTCTATGTAATATTTTTAAGTATGCCTAAACTTTATTTTTAAATTGCCAAAACCTTTGCATTGTATGTAGTTTTGCTTTACTTGAAAGTGTAACCCCAACTAAATTTTGTTTTAGCTTTTCAAAGATGAGAAGTACTTGAAAGATGCCATGGAGTGCAGTGATGTCATCTGGCAGAGAGGATTATTAAGGAAAGGATATGGCATTTGTCATGGAACCTCAGGGAATGGATATGCATTCCTGTCTTTGTATCACCACACTCAGGAAAAGAAATATCTCTACAGAGCTTGCAAGGTAATAGTTTCTTATGGGAAAGTCTCCAAGGGATGTTAAAGTGTATGGTTAGCCCAAACTTTTTTCTCCTTTTTTTTTTTTGTTTTTTTGTATTTGGTAGAGTAGGAAAGGGTTAGAACCCTCCTCTGGTTTTTATAGCTGCTTGTGTCCCCACTGGAAAGATTGGACAACTGACTCCTCCCCTGCACTGCCGGCTGGACCTCCTGTGACAGCTGTCTCCGCCCCCACATCGCTCTCCACCCTGATCTGTCACGGGAGGCTTAGCGGGACGGTCCGGGGGGGGAGCCCGGCCTCCTGTGACATTGCGGCTGACAGCGCTCTCTTCCCCCACCCCGCTCGGACTGCCTGAACATTCTCTCCTCCCCGCTGGACGCTGTGCTGTGTCAGAGCGAACATAAACCAGCGCCCAGCGGGGAGAAGAGAAACCAAGGATGCACCGCGATTTCAGACGAAAGCTGGTACTTTCGGCATTTTACCAAAAGTGCCATTTTCAGCCAATATGTTTCGGCGGCTGAAGTTTCGGTGCATCCCTAATTTTAACCCTTCCTTACTCTATCCAAAACCAAAACAATAAAGTTTTGGTTATACATGTGCTATGAACTATAAGGACACAAAACAATTCCCAATCTGACAGATGTACAGTATTTTAACTGTAAAGATTGCTTTTGGATGTTTGGACAGTACAAGGCTTCCTGTGTCCCTGTGTGAGTATTTTTTTACTCCTAAAATCCCATATTTTTATATTTATAATCCGGTACTAAGGTTTACTGCTTTACCACAAAACTGTACGCTGGATGTAGGGGAGTTTATCCTGGATTGGCCCATAATTATTGTGTTTGCCAGTGTCCTGTCCTCCTCCTGTAGGCAGCAGTAAAACCCGACAACATAATAATTCCTGTGTTCCTCAATGAACTTCAAGAAAAGTATTTTACGGTGAATACAAAAATCTATTATTGCCTCATGCTAGTCACCTAACTTGTCGAAATAAAACTGTCAAAATAAAGCTTATTGCGGCCGAAGTCACTGACCTCTGAAAATTCTAGTTGCCTGGCCGTTATGCTGACACCGTCGCTTCAGTAGTTTGCCATTTTCTTGATGATCTGCCAGAAATTCAGTAAACTCCTAGCTTCCTATAGTGATCTGACAACACTGCCTGCATGGGTTCTCTTTCTGGACTACAAAACGCCTCCCTCGCTCCTCATCTCCATAAAATATTCATAACATATACATAGTCCAGCAGGATACAACTCTAGCAGGGTTGGTGGTTCAGTGCAGCAGAGGCAGAGTTGGCAGCCTATACTAGAATTTAGGAGATCACTGGATTTCTGGCAGATCAACAGTATTTCCTGCACTTGCAGTGTTTATATAGAGATCACACATGGAGAAATCGTCATGTTTTCTAGAAGTGCAGTATTTTTTGGCCAAACATACTTTAATTCTGCATGATATGTCTCATTACAATTTTCATAAATTTGGTTTACTTTGCCCTGGCGCCACACTTAACTTTCTAAAAGCCACGTGGTTATGAAAACAGTCAGTTTTTCATGTTTGTTTTTATTTCTGGTTCTAAAAGCTTGATGCACTTGACCTATGGTTCATAGTCTCTGAGGTGCCAACACTCCACTGCTTGCAATGAATATCTAAATGTTTTGCTGCTCTTAGGCATTCCAGGGCTATCTGGCAGATGTAAATGGCATCTCAGAGTCTCATACAATATATTTTATGATCAAGGCAATAACTCTTCAGGGAAATTCCTGCTCTTGTAGTTGCTGTTTGAAATTGAGTTACATTAACCTATTCACATCTAGCACCAGGATATAAAAAATGCAGCACGTTTCCCTTCTGCTACTGGAGCATCAAAGTACATGCCAGATACAAAGACACATGCATAATAAAATAAGGTGGAGAGGTCTGTTTATGATTTACAGTTTATATTCTTTATTGGCTCAGGAGAAAGACATAAAATATCACTGATCACCTTTACATCAAGAGTCCCCTTCACAATAGAGCCACCTCCTTTCACATCAGAGTCCCCATCTTTCACATTAAAGCCCCCCTTCACATCAAGAGCCCTCTTTACATCAGAGTCCTACTTATCACATTAGGAGCCGCAGCACAGCAGTGGATGACAGGTGGAGAAGGCCTGGATGGGGTGAACTACTGTCCTTTTCTGAATAGATCCCACCCTGCCTGGATTAATGTAATTCTTTTCCATGGTGCTGGTAAAAACGTTGAGGAGCCCCTGAGGAAGCCAGAAGGCAGCTTGGTTGAGAGAGGCTGGTTTAAGCAATAGAGAGTAAATTGTGTAATATATTTACCCTATATGTATATTCTGATGTACAGATATCAATTCCCATAGCATCTGGCTTTTTTAAAAACTTTACTGTTATATAACAATCTGTTTCACGTTAAATAAATGTCCACTCTTTTTGGTTTAATTGGAATCCCCCCAACCCCAAATACATTGAAAAGTAAAGTTTGTAAAACAAAACAGCAAAAAAATCTTGGCCCAGCTTCTGATGTTTACAGGGGGCACAGGTGACATTGTGCTTACCAGCGAAATGGGGTGCTGCTCATTTCAGAAAAATATGAACAACAATGAGAATTGGCAAAACCTCCTGGATTCAAAGTATTTAGCAGATGAAGAAAATGATACATGTAAGATTTTCTTTTTTGTTGATTTGTTACTGAACTCCAACCCCATGTGTAAAAATGTTTTCTTTATTTTAGTTTGCAGAGTGGTGTTTAGATTATGGGAAGCATGGATGCCGAATTCCGGACAGACCTTACTCTCTCTTTGAAGGTATTCGAACTATAGGATTGATTTGTATGAACTGGTGACTTCTCAGACTCTTCTCATATGGGGGTTATGATGGGATGATTAGCTCATTATAGAAAGTTGCCTGGTAATGTTAGCTTGACTTGCAGATGTTTTCTGACAGCATTTCTCACAAATCCGCCTGGATGCAGAGAAGTGGAGGCGTTGTCCACAGCAACAAAGCAGATTCCAGCTCTAATTACTCTGTTCTCCGAACCCTCTCATGACTAGAGGTCATCAATGCCTAGACATCCAGTCAAACTTCATTGCTGTTATAATCATTCTTAAGGTGCCCACACACCTTGCGATAATCGTACGATAATCGCGGGAAATCCCGCGATCGTACGATTATCGTATGGTGTGGGGAAGGCGTGCGACCTCTACTACTGTAAGATCGCACGACTTTTATCTTACGGACATGTTTGAAAACCAGCCGAACATCGTACGATCTTCGGCTGGTTTGTGGCATGTTCGCAAGATAAAAGCCGCACGGGCCAGTGTGCGCAAGCGCACACTGCCCGTTTGGCATTGCAGTCATCGGAAGCCCGTCCCTCAGCGGGGTGGGCTTGCGATCATCGCAAGTACGATCTGCCTGTCCAAGATAGGCAGATCGTACGTTTTTTTTTAATTACCTTACAACCATCGCAAGACTTTTGTCTTGCGATGGTTGTAAGGTGTGTGCCCAGCATTAGTACTGCAAAGTAGTTTTCAAGTGTCCTGCTCTTCAGGTGCTTCCATAATTAATCATGCAAATAATCTTTTACGTAACCCAGAAACTGTAAGCTGCACTGATTTAACAGCTGTTCTATTTTTAAATAATATTCCTTTTATTATTGTAATTGTATCTGGCAGTTATAAGAGTATTTAGCATATTGTACTGCAGATGCCACTGCACTCTGTAGGTAGCAGTGTTTATCTGCAGACTGGAGACTTTTATTTTTTAAAGGAGAACTATGGGGTCAGGGCTTTTCCCCATAGTTCTCCTTAGAGTAACAGGAGGACACAAACTAGCGCCCTCCCGTTACCCTAATCTCAGTATACCGCGAGCTACCGCTCGCGGTATACTGAGACGCCGGAGCGGATCCTGACATCGATGTCGAGATCCACCCAGCTGTGTGAGTGACAGCTGGCTCTGCCTATCTAGAGGCAGAGCCAGCTGTACCCGCCCCCTCCCCCGTCCGTTCCGCCAGTCGGCGCTGGCGGATCGGAGCGGGGAGAGGGGAATCCAGCCCCTCCCCTGTCACGGCAGAGAGCCGTGACAGGATCGAGAGGTGAGCAAACGCCGGTATGTGTTCCCTCACCTCCCGATCTACTGAGCCGACCTGTGACAGTCTCATTGTCACAGGTCGGCTAGAACTATGAGGTGAGTGAAAAGCACTCACCTCATAGTTCTCCTTTAATGAAGCCTCTGGCCTGCACGTGATAACTATATAATAGCTAACATTGTGATTGGATGGTTGAACCACTCTGACTGGTTTCAAGTTGTCGGTGGCAACCAAAGCTGTCAGTGACAGCTGTGATTTAAGAGCCAGCAGCCGCGTAGCGTAGGCTGGTGGTACTCAACCTATACTGTGAATTGTGCTGGGGAACATTCTGTATAGATTTTGGGAGGGAAGAGTGTTAAAGGATAAATGCTTTTTCAGTACCATTTATATATTCTGACTTGCTTGCTCAAAAAAGTTAATAGTAAGGAGGAACTGTTTTGCCGATAAAAAGGAATTTCAGACACTGGGCCCTCCAGCCTGGAAGCAGTGTGTTCACATTATCTCTTCTGCAACAACTGCTCCTGGCCAACACTAGAGGGAACTGGAGGAAAGAAGTGAGATAAATTGCTCATTCATTGCAATGCAAAGTGTCAAATTCCTTTCAGCTCCCTCTGATGGTGGCCGGAAGCAGCAGCTGCAGGAAGAGTGTTGTAAACAGATGAAGGTATGTATCTGAAATTTTAATTATCAGCAAATCAATTACTACAGGTAAGTGAGAGATGTGAGCAAGCTGCAAGGACAAATAAGAATAAAGGGTAAGTATTGAATGTGCACCTGCCCTTTAAAAAAGTCCTAAGTCACAGCATATACTATTCTGTTATAACATCAGCATTATAATAGGAATACATACTGGAGTTGTTTTTGATAATGCATCAAATCAATCACATCTATCAATGTGTGTATGTGTGTGTGTGTATATATATATATATATATAT